CAGCATTGTATTGTTTGATACAGTATTGTATTATTTGATACAGTATTGTATTGTTTGGTACAGTATTATATTATTTGATACAGCATTGTATTATTTGATACAGTATTGTATTGTTTGATACAGTATTGTATTATTTGATACAGCATTGTATTATTTGATAGAGTGTTATATTATTTGATACAGTATTGTATTATTTGATACAGTATTGTATTGTGTGATACAGTATTGTATTGTTTGATACAGTATTGTATTATTTGATACAGTATTGTATTATTTGATACAGTATTGTATTGTTTTATTTGATACAGTATTGTATTATTTGATACAGCATTGTATTATTTGATACAGTATTGTATTGTTTTATTTGATACAGTATTGTATTGTTTTGTACAGTATTGTATTATTTGATACAGTATTGTATTGTTTGATACAGTATTGTATTATTTGATACAGCATTTTATTGTTTGATAGAGTGTTGTATTGTTTGATACAGTATTGTATTGTTTGATACAGCATTGTATTGTTTGATACAGTATTGTATTGTTTGATTCAGTATTGTATTGTATTATTTGATACAGTATTGTATTGTATTATTTGATACAGTATTGTATTGTTTGATATATTATTGTATTATTTGATACAGCATTGTATTATTTGATACAGTATTGTATTGTATTATTTGATACAGTATTGTATTGTTTGATACAGCATTGTATTGTTTGATACAGTATTGTATTATTTGATACAATATTGTATTATTTGATACAGTATTGTATTATTTGATAGAGTGTTACATTATTTGATTCAGTATTGTATTGTTTGATACAGTATTGTATTATTTGATACAGCATTGTATTGTTTGATAGAGTGTTGTATTGTTTGATACAGTATTGTATTGTTTGATACAGCATTGAATTATTTGATAGAGTGTTGTATTATTTGATACAGTATTGTATTGTTTGATACAGTATTGTATTATTTGATACAGCATTGTATTTGTTTGATAGAGTGTTGTATTGTTTGATACAGTATTGTATTGTTTGATATAGTATTGTATTATTTGATACAGTGCTGTATTATTTGATAGAGTGTTGTATTATTTGATACAGTATTGTATTGTTTGATACAGTATTGTATTGTTTGATACAGTATTATATTACTATTTAATACAGTATTGTATTATTTTGCTTAAGATGTAACTGTATTTGTGTGTTCTGAAAACTGTTACTACTGAATCGAGTGCCTTATAAAAAGAAATAATATTTATTTTGCGTAATGTGTGTGCCTTTTGCTTATGAACTTAACTATGGAGGTGTGCTGATGTCCAAGGCAGACACATCGCCGGTGATTTTTTTATATCCTTCTGTTTTTGAGTTATTTTTTATAGAATTTGATTAAAATGGCAGATTTTTGTTTGGATGTGTTTAATCTGTTTACAAATTGTCTAGAATCGTTGCGATTAAGAGTTTAATATTTAGTATACAACAATCATCCCAGAAGTTGAATAGGGTTTCAATATAGAATCTTCCCTCGTATTCACCCGTCCGAAAGAAAACCCCTTGCTAAAGAGAGACGTCTTTTTGGTTGTGCGTGATGTATACGCAGCTACGTTCGGTCAGACGTTAACATTAATCAAACATATAAAACAAACAACCAATCACCGTTTGATAAAAAGAGACTAAGTTCCTTTTCAGGTTATTTAGTTATTAAGTAATTGTCCAATTGTTGCATACTTATTTTTTTACAGCTGAATGTTAAACAATGCTAGATTAAAAAAAGATATTTCAAATATAAATCTTGGCTTTTAACACATACTGAGTGGTGGTGTTGAACTAGTTTACAAAGTTAAAAACTTTCAGAAAATATTGAAATATGTTTTTTTCTAGTTTTTGAGACAGATCATTTATTTTAATTTTTTTTTATAAAGCCTACAACAGATGTGTTGATTCTTAAAAAGATTGAACATCTGTTTAAGTTCGTCTATCTAAGGGAATTTGCAGTACCTTTTACAAGATCAATGATACAGTGTTTATTGTCAAGCCTATTGGAACGTAACTAAATATACTATGATTGTACATGTGAGTGTGTTTAATAATCTTTTATTTTGGTCTTTCGTATCTTATTTGAATGTCTAAATCAGATAAAATGTGCAAGGTGCATTAAGTAATAAACGACGTAGAAATCTCTGAAACTGAACGTGTTTAGGTCACAGTATATGGTATCCAACGGTTACCAGTCGTCCATATCATATGGTAAACTCTAAATGGCCAAAGGAGACTTATTTTAATATTTAGTTCTAAATTGTTTATAATGATGAGTATTTTATGTTTATATTATAATAACCGAGAGATACCTTAAGCGACAAGCCAGTTAACTATTTTTAACAAACAATAACTATTAATAAAAGAAATGAAGAGTAAACCGTCAGCAACCCAAATAGAACGCAAAAACTAAATATAACTAAAAACAAATTTTGATATGTTTTGGTTTTACTGCTCGTAAAATAATTCTGGTGACAAATATCGTCGTGAACATGAATGAAATATTTGCCATCGGACGTTAAGATACCAACGAGCAATCAGTCTGGTGATAAATACCATTAATAGAAACCTCAAAGTACTTAACTTTCTTTATTTTATACTATTAAAGGCAGTAGTGCGTCTTAAAATGAAATATCTTAAAAACAAACACGTCTTTAAAAGCACATACTCGTGATGTTAATAAACTTGACTGTAAAGTTTTTCGCAATTCTTCAAAATTCAATAAAATTGCCTCATGTCACGAATGAATTAACACATTTGTATTAAAGGGTACATTGTGTTTCCCGAGGCAAACAATGTACTTATCAACGAACTACAAAATGTATTTAAATACTTAAGTATACAACAATCACCCTGACCAGGGTGAGGATTACGTATAGGTTTAGTATGGGGTAAATTACGTTATTTTTTAATTATATTGTTGAGATTTTCATATACTGAGACTATTTCTAATTTCGAAACTAATCGTTCTCCTCATTTCATGGTACGTAACTAGATAATAATAAAAAAGACATTGCTTTGTACAAGGCTGATGACTTATAGCAAGCTTATAATACCCTGATGACATTATTCTAACGTGGCCAGTTTTCGTCGTAGACTATCCAGTAGTTGAGTGGTTAAAAATCATATAATACAGCAATTTTTTACATAGTTCCGACTACATTATGTCATGCAATTTTTTTAACATAGAAAGAGAAAAATATTTACCACATTATTGTAAAAGAAATGCTAACATTATTGAATTTAAAAATGTATTCTCATCTGAAAATGTTGTAGAACTAGAAAAATTGTGTAGATTTATACGATACATATCACTGAAAGTCTGTCCTCCTGGTTAGAGGAACTGTAATACTATTATCTTGTTATTTATTTTCACACATGCGAAAAAAAATATGTATTATATATGAACTGTTATTGTCTCTGTAGCTATGTACTAGTTTATGAGAATAAAATCATTCATTCATTCACTATCTGGAATTTGATTGCAAATAAACAGATTATTGAAAGGGAAGCACACATCTTAAGACTTGAATCTGCTACCGCATTAAGCCATGATTAGTGGGTTTGTAGCAATTAAAACATCCATCTAATGACAAGTATGATAGTATCATCTAAATAGTGGCATTGTCTTAGTAATAATGCCGTGATGTGCACGTACAGGAATCACTTGGACGTAAGGGATATCAAGATTCATGTTATGCAGTTCGCACTTGAGCATTTGAACATTTTTTAATAAAAATGACGTGAACATTTTTACTAAATCTGCATCATGCATGGTGCAGTTGTATGACCATATATTACTTTCGATCTGATCTGAAAGGGTGACAAAGAGCGGAAACTAATACAACTGTCTTTTATTTTAAATACACACGAAATGCCTTTGGCAGTTGAAGTGTGGTCGATGGTTAAAAACGCCAGATATATACTACAGCAGTATAACTTAAAGATGTATATCCAAATTTGTTTGTTATTTGAGGCTATTTCGTCATTGCTCATTTCATAATTACTTACTAATGCCCTATACATGTATGATAAAAGGTGATTTCATGTTTTACTGGAAATCGCAAAAATAATCAAAATAATTTTGGTATTTTATCTGTATATCTTAAAAAATCTTCATAGCCAGAAACTATTTGTCATACGATTGTTTTAAATGTTTTGTTAACGTCATTTGTGAAAGCGATGACACATAGCTTTTAATATTTTATACTTAATGTTAAGAGGATGAACATTTTCACATCCAATAAGTAGAAAATATATCAACTTTCAGGAATAAAATAATAACTGATAATAATAGATTCAACGCATTAGGAAAATTATAAATGTTCCAAAACAATGTATACAGCAAATAAATACAAAAATCACATCCATGCATAAACATTGTATCGGCTAACATTAACTCGTCAAAATCTGAGAGTAGTCTCGGTCCAAGTTAAGCATAAGTAGACACAATTAGTAAAAAAACATACTAGTATTATCTTCCTTTAAAATGTACATACACAATGTCATTGAGATAAGTTACATAATAATTACCAGATCAATACAAATTAATTATAAGTTGCATGTGATTTGATTACACGCTTGAAACTATTTTAATTGTTGCAAATGTTAAAAGAGTCCTTTTGACAATGATTATTATTTTTTTTATAAAATAACTGGTATTGAAATGTCATTTTATATGTCGAATAGATCAGATTGCTTTGTCAATTGGTCCCACTTGAGAAAAAAAATATATAAAAAATATGTAAATCGAATAATAGTGCTCTTCTTAAATAGCTAACTGTTTGACCTCTTTTTTATCCTTGTATACAGCAGTGGAAAATCTTTTGAATGTGAATTTAAATGCATATGAAACATGAGTAAATCACTGTTTCATTGTTATGATCTCAGGATTAAAAGATCAATAATTTGTAATAACAATAAGCAGGTGTTTTATATACATAACATAACAGAACTTACCTTGAGAAACGTAAATAAGACAATATAGTATGGTCCAGCAGCGGGCACCTGCCATTTTTTTTCCTTTTTATGATATGAAACTTGTACTTTGATGTTCATATCAATACTAATTAAACTGGTGTGTATACCGGGTATATATGTTCTTTAGGCTTTTCACAATTCATTGGTGTCACGTGACCAAAGTTTACCTGTATAACAGAAGTTGGCGTTCTATATTGCAGTTGACCAGTGTTATAAGACAAATATTCTGCTTGAAGGAGTCTAGATCGGTTGATATAATATAGTGGAGCATATTGATGTATACTTAAAAAGACATTTTCAAAAATGGTCATGAAAACATACAAACTGATAGTTCGCCTGTATTAGACGATCGACCTTATCAGTATTTTTAAAGCGGATAGGATGTAAACAATGAAGACTTCCAAGAGATTTTAACTCACCTACTCAGGCATAATGACTTGCTATAAATATCTTTAATTTCCAATCAAATCTTAAGAAATGAGATTATTATCACTACATCATTTGAACTTTTTTATAGCTTGCTATGCGGTATGGGTTCTGCTCATTGTTGAAGACCATATGATGACCAACAGTTGTTAACTATTACGTTATTTGGTCTTTGGTGGAGAGATGTCTTATTGGCAATTATTCCACAAGCTTTTAGTTGTACATTGTTGCCATCACATATGAAAAAATTAAAAGGGCGCCTCATGCATGCAGGTCTTTAATATAATTAGGGAAGAAGGTTTGATTTTGGTTTAGGGAGCTACCATGCATTTGATTTTTATGGAGGGGGTGGGGGGGGGGGGGGGGGGGGGGGGGGGGGGGCTAGGATAAAATTTGAAAAAAGACAGGACAGGAGTTTTAAGTAAAAAAAAGGCAGGATGAGCAACTTGGCCAAAAAAAAGTCAGGATGACAATTTATGTAAAAAAAAGTCAGGATAAAGTAATAAAAAAAGGCAGGACCGAATAGAGTGAAAATTAAAAAGGCAGGACAGAGATTACAACTACAAAAAATGCAGGACCAAATTTTTCATCCTAGCCCCCCCCCCCCCCAATAAAAATGAAATGGTAGCTCCCTTAAACCGGGAAGAAATAAGCATTTTCCTTGCCCGAAACCAAGGATTTGTATAGTAATACAATATAATACAAATCCTTGCCAAAACCAGACTTAATCGAACGAAAAGTCTCTGAAGACAATGTTGTTAGAACATTGGAGTTTTAATCAATACTTTTCAAATTTGACAATTTAAGGGAGACTGATTTCTATAATTTTTTCTTGTTTTCGAATCCTTGTATTTATATTGTTTATTTATCTTTTGTTAACTTTTTAAAAATAAAAAAAAATATTGGGTTAAACTAATTTTAGTGACAGAGTTTACAATAGAAAACAAGCATTCCTTTTCATGTATACTATGCACTCCTAGATTTAAAATGTGTTCCTTCGTAAGGAACAGAATCTATGTTAAGTTTATACACATGAAAGTTTTGTCTAAAGTATTATATCATCTAGCTCCGCCGTAATGATGTACTTTCTTTAATCAATATGACCGATTGAAAATTGGTATTTCCGGATTTTCAGTCATACATGTAAGCGTAATATTTCTACTTGAGGACTGTTACTGACACGTTAAAGATCCAGCTAAGTCAGTGGCGTAGCTAGGCCATTTTTAAGTGTACGCCCGAACCTCATCGAGGGTTTTGAGGTCCAGAACAGAAGACCTCCTGATTGGGGGCGAAACCCCAAGGATGTTCACGCGTTATTGAGAAAAAGATACCAACATATGTCATTAAAAACTCATCAATAGCAACATACTTGGTCGGTTCAGAACAAAACTTTACGACAAAGGAGATGATTTCAGCCTCCAATTGTAAACTTTTCTTTTCTATGTAGCAACATTCCAGCAGCACCTGCATATGGAGTATATACATGTCAGTTGATAAGATATGCCAGAGCTTGCATTTCCTATCATCATTTCAAGTGGTGAAGTTGAAATCATCACTTCGTAAATTTTACGAACGCAATCACGAGTTAGTTGACCGTTATGGAATATCGGTTATACAGATGATATCGGATATGTTCCTTATGTCGTAACTACAATCCCGTTCCCTTTTCACGAATGTGACCTACCAAATTAGACTATTTAACGGCTTTATAATAACATGAAGACGACGGGTGCCACGTGTGGAGCAGAACCTTCTGGAGCACCTGAAACCAACCCCAGTTTTTGGTGGGGTTCGTGTTGTTGTTGTACCCCTATTTGTGACATTTTGTTCACGCATCGTTGTCAATATAATGGAATTTGATGCGACAGTCGTACAAGTGAGAGGTTTAGCGCTATAAAACCATGTTCAATCCACCATTTTCTACATAAGAAAATGCCTGTACCAAGTCAGGAATATGACAGTTGTTGTCCATTCGTTTGATGTGTTTGTACTTTTGATTTTGCCATTTGATTAGGGACTTTCCGTTTTGAATTTTCCTCGGAGTTCAGTATTTTTGTGATTTAACTTTTTCCTTGATAGATAGTGGATGCTTACAAGGAAGCTACTGAACCAAGAGTTCTAAGTGGTGAAGTTGAAATCATCCCTTCGAAAATTTTACGTTCGACATAACAAGTAGGTTAATGACGACGGATATGTTCCAATTGCTGATATTACCACAATCCCGTCCTCTTTTCCTCTAATGTGATCTACCGAATTAGACTTATCACTGAGTTTGCACACGTGGAGTAGAATTTGCTTACCCTTCCGAAGCACCTGAGATCACCCCCAGGTTTTGGTGGGGTCCGTGTTGTCAAGTCTTATGTTTCTATGTTGTGTTTTGTATACTGTTGTTTGCCTTTTCATAGTTTTTCGTTTTTTGCCATGGTATTGTCAGTTTGTTTTCAATTGATGAGTTTGAATATCCCTTTCGCGTCTCTTTCAGAGTCTAATTTGTTTTTTACAGTTAAATTTATTCATTGTATTGATCTGGAATATAATGGTAATATATTAAGAGAAAAAAATGCCCAAAAACAGTTGCTTAAAAATATGTTAAGAAGCAATCTAAAATTTATATCTATATTTACTCGAATGCTCCTTTCTTATGAGTCTAACGAAATCAGAGAAATATATTTTAATTAGATTGGTTTAAAAGGAGATGTGGGGTAAACAATCAATCGACAAAAAAATCGAAACTTTATATAGAGATAGTCAAAAAGCAATTCACCATTTTAATGTTGTCGTTCTATTGATTTTTTGGGAAAAATACAAGGCTCGTGTGCTTTTAATCAGTTCTTATAATTTATTTGGGTTCAAATATTTTTTTTTTCTTCAAAATTTATGTGTACGCCCGGGCGTTTTGACGTAAACGTAGCTACGCGCATGTAAGTATGTAGGTCAAGTACAAAACAGGGTTCATATTCATGCGCGTAGCTACGTTTACGTCAAAACGCCCGGGCGTACACATAAATTTTGAAGAAAAAAAAAATATTTGAACCCAAATAAATTATAAGAACTGATTAAAAGCACACGAGCCTTGTATTTTTCCCAAAAAATCAATAGAACGACAACATTAAAATGGTGAATTGCTTTTTGACTATCTCTATATAAAGTTTCGATTTTTTTGTCGATTGATTGTTTACCCCACATCTCCTTTTAAACCAATCTAATTAAAATATATTTCTCTGATTTCGTTAGACTCATAAGAAAGGAGCATTCGAGTAAATATAGATATAAATTTTAGATTGCTTCTTAACATATTTTTAAGCAACTGTTTTTGGGCATTTTTTTCTCTTAATATATTACCATTATATTCCAGATCAATACAATGAATAAATTTAACTGTAAAAAACAAATTAGACTCTGAAAGAGACGCGAAAGGGATATTCAAACTCATCAATTGAAAACAAACTGACAATACCATGGCAAAAAACGAAAAACTATGAAAAGGCAAACAACAGTATACAAAACACAACATAGAAACATAAGACTTGACAACACGGACCCCACCAAAACCTGGGGGTGATCTCAGGTGCTTCGGAAGGGTAAGCAAATTCTACTCCACGTGTGCAAACTCAGTGATAAGTCTAATTCGGTAGATCACATTAGAGGAAAAGAGGACGGGATTGTGGTAATATCAGCAATTGGAACATATCCGTCGTCATTAACCTACTTGTTATGTCGAACGTAAAATTTTCGAAGGGATGATTTCAACTTCACCACTTAGAACTCTTGGTTCAGTAGCTTCCTTGTAAGCATCCACTATCTATCAAGGAAAAAGTTAAATCACAAAAATACTGAACTCCGAGGAAAATTCAAAACGGAAAGTCCCTAATCAAATGGCAAAATCAAAAGTACAAACACATCAAACGAATGGACAACAACTGTCATATTCCTGACTTGGTACAGGCATTTTCTTATGTAGAAAATGGTGGATTGAACATGGTTTTATAGCGCTAAACCTCTCACTTGTACGACTGTCGCATCAAATTCCATTATATTGACAACGATGCGTGAACAAAATGTCACAAATAGGGGTACAACAACAACACGAACCCCACCAAAAACTGGGGTTGGTTTCAGGTGCTCCAGAAGGTTCTGCTCCACACGTGGCACCCGTCGTCTTCATGTTATTATAAAGCCGTTAAATAGTCTAATTTGGTAGGTCACATTCGTGAAAAGGGAACGGGATTGTAGTTACGACATAAGGAACATATCCGATATCATCTGTATAACCGATATTCCATAACGGTCAACTAACTCGTGATTGCGTTCGTAAAATTTACGAAGTGATGATTTCAACTTCACCACTTGAAATGATGATAGGAAATGCAAGCTCTGGCATATCTTATCAACTGACATGTATATACTCCATATGCAGGTGCTGCTGGAATGTTGCTACATAGAAAAGAAAAGTTTACAATTGGAGGCTGAAATCATCTCCTTTGTCGTAAAGTTTTGTTCTGAACCGACCAAGTATGTTGCTATTGATGAGTTTTTAATGACATATGTTGGTATCTTTTTCTCAATAACGCGTGAACATCCTTGGGGTTTCGCCCCCAATCAGGAGGTCTTCTGTTCTGGACCTCAAAACCCTCGATGAGGTTCGGGCGTACACTTAAAAATGGCCTAGCTACGCCACTGATATTCATAGCATAGTTACATGTTCTCGTCCTGGTATGCATGTAATATTTGCCACT